TAATATTATGGATATCTTCTTTCTTATTGAAATTATGTATATTTTTACGGGCATATAAAATATTTGAGTAAATGTACTGTGATGCCACAGTCATGATACCAGTCTCCTTAATCTTTTCTCTGAAAGAAACCCGAGAGCCTAGACGGTACACAGAACGAATCGCACGTTTTTGCAGTACAAATATGGTTTGAATATCTGCCGCTTTACCCCACATGAGAATCCCGTAGGACATTATACTATGGAAGTAACTAAAGTAAACTAGTCTAGCAGTACTAACATCGGTAAGCTCACATATTCTGCGGACTGCGTATGCAGCGGAGCTTAATCTGCTGGCCAGGGAAGATATATGTGGAAACCATTGAAGTTTACTATCTAAGGTCACTCCCAAGAAGACTGCTTTATTAACAAAGTCTAACTTTTCTCCGTTCATTTCTATGCTCGGACTAGTCGATTTTACGTTAGGTAATTCAAATTTAACACATTTTGTCTTCTTGGCATTAAGTAATAAATTGTTAGCATTAAACCAATAAACTACCTTAGAGAGGGTATCGTTAAATAGTGATAAAAACAGGTGATATAGATATATTGGTAGTTAGGTTATAAATTATATTGTATGGTATTCTGAGTGGGCTTGGGAAGGACAAGTCAGGATTTGAGTATGGTTTAAAGCACTCAAAATCATACTCAAGTCCCTGTCATTAGGGTCGTATTTCCAGTGCTTGTGTTTCCAGTGCAATCCTGACTAACCTATATTTATTTATTTACTGCCTCCGTGGCCGAACGATTACCATGCCGGACTGCCACGCAGAGGTCCCAGGTTCGATTCCCGGCATGGGAGAAATATTTGTATGGCCTACATTTATTTCTCTCGTGAGTTTGGGGGTAATTTGTGGTTGTCTATGTGTGTGTACATAGTACCCGCGACACAGGATTTTCCCTAGTGCGGGGCTATGTTGAGTGCGTGCATTATTATTATTATTCATACAACTCAGAATTTTCACAGGTATCATATTGACAGCTGTTTGTTCGTGCTACCGACTTTATTTACACATTTGAATCATTCCGAATGGGAACTTATATCGCCAAGGACACTTATGTTATGTGTATGACAACCCTGAAATAAGATCGGACCTTTTGGTTATATAGGAAGGAATTTAGAACCCGAAGACCATAATCATACGGCTCAAAATTGAAAACAGGGTTTACCTCGCGTTTTTTTTTAAAGTGTATTAACGCACTTGTACTGTACTTATTACCAAACTACTAAATATAATGGGTATCATTTGTAATGGCTCGTCGAAAAAGTAATAATATTTTTAAATTTACAAATTGTACTAGAAACATATTCAGGTCTAATAATACTTGTGTTGAGTATAAATTTATTTATTATACATCATTTTCAGGAATCATGGGAAAGCAAGTTGGCAAGAATGCGTTCGTCGTCGCCTTATGGCTCGCTCGCCGGATGGCGGCTGTTAGGTTGTATCGTGAAAGTCGGCGACGACTTGCGGCAAGAGATGCTAGCAGCACAGCTACTGAGGCGGTTACAAGCCGTATGGGATCTGGAACGTGTGCCTCTGAGATTGCATCCTTATGAAATACTCTGCCTTGATAAGGAATCAGGGCTAATTCAACCGGTATGTTTTATTGATTATTAAAATTGCAAGCTGTATACAGTATAGACACATCAAATAGGACAGTTCAAATAATAAATCTTCAATTGATTAAAAGTAACAGCAAGCCGTAATATAATTAAAAATAAAACTAAGCTGTCCTATTAAGGTTCAATATGGAGTCGTATAAAGTGAAGGAAAACATCTGAGGAAACCTAAACCCTCTCCCGAGAGGACACCTGTGTTCGACAATGGGACGTATAAATGGGTTGATGCTGATGATGATGGAGTGGTAAATTGATGTGTATTTTCTATTCTGCCCTCGTAACTAAGAAAGGCACAACTATGCATACTTTACACAGCAGTTGTGCCTTTTTTCGTTCCGAGGGCAGTTATCAACTGCCACCGTGGTCGAAAAGTTACCATACTGGACTGCCACACACAGGTCCCGGGTTCGATTCCTGGGCCGAGTGAAATATTTGTATGGCGTACATTTATTTCTCTCTCGTGAGTTTGGGTGTAATTTGTGGTTGTCTATGTGTGTGTCCATGGCACCCGCTATACTGGGGCTCTCGAGGGCGGGGCTATGAGTGTGTACGCGTTTTGTGTTCCACTCATTAAAAAAAATACATTAACGAAGTTTTCAAATGGAAGGCATATGGTATAACCTGCCTATATCCTATTTTGAAGGCTGGCGAATTACTGTTGAACTTTGTGTGGTGGCGCTAGTATTTATTTAGTTTTGACGTCTTTGTTCATGTTCTCAGAAAATATTAGTATCTTAACGTTCCGCGATATGGCGCGCATCGGAATGTGACTTGTTCGCCTCTGTAGTATGTATGGTATGACATGGCAATAAAACGAAAATAATTTTTCAACTACATAAGGAATCTTGCTAGCAAGTATGTGTATGTGAATTGAATATTAAGAATTACTCGAATTTCTATTGTGCCTCTTATATACTGACAATAACTATTATATTTAACGTATTGCTGTACTTTTTACAAGACTAACGCCTCTTTAATTATGAGCGACGAATGCCAGCAATGCTGCACAACATTATTCTTGTTTTTTTTTTTGAGGGTTTTCCTTTTGCTTTTTTGTTTTTTTATTAACATCAACGTCCTTGGCGTGATTGTAAATCCGTCTATACAAATTCAATTCAATTCAATTCAAATCTTTATTTCGGACAAAATATCCATATAGTGTTAATAACAAAATACTTACAAATTATGTTAATACGAATCATCTAAACATTGCCGTGTACCCATTGATATAATATGGGCCCATCTTTCGTATCGGCCACGTGTACGAAGACGACTCTCACTCGCGCCTCGACAAACATCCCCGAAGCGCTACAGTAGCGCGACAGCCCCAACAGCATTCTGAGAGCGTCATTATAGCGGATACGCTGTCTGTGTGTAATTGACCCACAGTCTGCACCTATAACGATTAAAAAAACGATTGGCAAAATGCTTTAAAAAGCGTGAGCTTTACGTTTCTAGTACAACGTGCACACCTGCGGGCTAGCATATTGCACCTTACTGCCAACGTCCTGCGCTCCCTGTCAATGTCGATGTCATCAGACAGACTCTCCGTTGCACTTAAAATGTGAGACCCTACGTAGTGGCACACGGCATAAGTTGACTGGCAACATTTCTCTGGGGCATTTATAGCCGGCCTTAAAAATTAAAAACTCGCTTTTATTTACATTGTACATAAAACTTGTACGGACCAAAACTTGTACCAAGCAGTTCATGTACGCTAAGAACGTTGACTCGCAACATCAAGCTCGGTGCATTTCATACGCGTCTTTGTTCGGATGACCTTAAAAAATTTTACTTAGTATGGCCTTTCCGTGATGGGTATAGGATTCAATTTAAAGCACAGTGGCGGAAATTTTATTTCGTATTTATGTTGACTTTTTCCTTGTCATAACCAACTTAATCGACATTTTTAGACATCTGGAATCAGCGATTCGAGATCTAAAACCTCTACAGATCTAAAACAGTACTAAATTTGTATCTTCAGCGACATGTCTTGTAAAAGGCTTTGTTTTTATCAATATTTTAAATTGGGCAGGTGCTAAACTCGGTATCACTGCACCAAATAAAGAAACAGTCTGGTGCGTCTCTACGTGCGTGGTTGGAGCTCGAGCACGGGCCGGCGACCAGCGAAGGCTTCATGCGCGCGCAGAACAACTTCGTCGAGTCAGCTGCAGCCTACGCATTAACTAGTTATCTATTGCAGCTTAAAGACAGGTAAGTGCTAATAAGTAAATATGCTTGATAATCACACTAATTTACATGTGAGTCTAATCGTCTACCTCCTTGAACTTGACATTGACACGTCAAATACTATTTCGAAACCCATTCACTGTGATTCAACTTCATTTATCTACAACTGCGACGCTGTGTGACGTGCTGCGCTAACGCATCGCGCGTTAGTTTAGTACTTTGTTGCCTGTCATTACGTTGCCTGTCATTACATACAATCGCTGACTCCGCCCACTGCCCCACATCGTTGTTCTTGCTATAGCAACGGCGTCTGTTAATCGTCGTGTGTCAATATTGTTCCCAAGTTTTAAGGAAACTTGGAGAGGTCATAACTTATTAATTTGTTAAGTATTTGAAAAAAACCGAACATCTATTTTTTATTTCCATTATACAGTTGCTCCTTTAAAATGATCAGTGGTTTTTTATCACCCTGTATAGTATATATACATTATATATCAAGTTAAATGAAGCTATCAGCACAAAAGTGGTAAAACACACATTCAATTGTTTCTACAATATTACTTTAAATTATACTAAAGTACATAATTATTCCTTGGCTGCTATTTTCATGTTTGAAAAAATTATGATTCAATATTATATAAACATGTCAATACGATGCATTGTTAATAGGAGTACTAGAATTGTTATCAACCTTTGTAGCTTCCATTTCGCTGAAAACGAAATCATAAAAAGAAATATCATTTCTAGAAGATATCATATATTAATACTAGATTATTGGTTTTTTGTCATTGGTCGATATAGATTACAATGCAAATTATGAAAGACTTAAAATATTAAAGACTATGTTTTATTTTCAGGCACAATGGAAACATTCTACTCGATAGCGCGGGCCATATCATTCATATTGACTTTGGATTCATATTCTCGATATCGCCTAAGAACTTAGGATTTGAAAGTTCGCCTTTTAAGGTATATTTATCGTATGATTTAATACCGTTTTGTTATGAATGTATAGATGGTCATTTTGAACATAACCCTTTCATGGACAGTAACAGCGTTTACCGTAAAATTATATATTAGAATATTGATAGTACGGGGTAGGGTAGTACTATATTTATTTCGCTATATGCACGGAAGAAACGAAAAACAAAACTCGCACATTCATAATTTGAAACACTATGAAATCTTGATTGTAATTGGTCGTAGTTTCAGATTTAAAAAGAAATAACAAGTTCTGGACGCTTAATACAATTTAAACTACCCTGTTGGCATATCGCTGAAAGTTCAAGACTATCAATACCTACTATTGCAAGTTACGACGTTTTGACTTTATAATTGAAATTTCAATCTATGTGCTGCCATCTAGCGATTAATAGCTGAACGACGTTTTTCGACTAATTCGAGCGACCATATTGCAGCTATAAGGTTTACTTTCATTTCGTGTAACAAAAAAATGATAACGATAAACAGAACATGAACATTTATTAAAATTAAATAAGACTGCATGATTATACGAAACACCACCATAGGTAATATTACAAGTGCGACTATCGTTTCATGACATTAAGTAGAAAACAATGGTTGACATACAACTGACAACACGGTGCATTGGTATTTCAACATCTTTTTTATTTTTAGCTAACTCAAGAATTCGTCGAGGTAATGGACGGCGAGAACAGCGACATGTTCCAGTATTTCAAGATTCTCATATTGCGCGGACTCATCGCTGCAAGAAAGCACTGTGACCAGATAATACACATAGTCGAGCTCATGCGCATGGGTACGTTCCATAGACACTTAACTAGTTCGATTTGGATGACCATGACGCAGAATATTTGAAAACCAATTTTTTTTACAGGCATGTTTATTAGAGATGGTTTTCTTTTTATTTATGCTTATAGTCTAATTAACATTACCGTGTTGTTGCAGGCGGCCAACTGGCCTGCCTCCGCAGCAGCAGCGCCGTGTCCTCGTTCCGGGCTCGCTTCCACCTGGGCAAGACAGAGCCACAGCTGCAAACACTCGTCGATCGTTTGGTCCGCGACGCGCAACACTCGCTCTCCACGCGTCTTTATGACAACTACCAGTACTATACCAACGGCATATTGTAATAGAACCTTATGACATGACGCCATTTTTCCTGAAGTATTGGATTCAGTATTTGACTTGTCATTTTGCTGTCATGCCAAAAAAGCGCAATACTCGTAAGGATGAGGGACATAATCGTGTAAATTGAAAGCCAGTTACTAGGTTTCCTATCCTGCATATTCCTGAAATTCAATATTGGATTCGGAAGTTCATGATATGATATTTTACTGTAACCTTTGAACTGGAGTTCAATTTACACGGTCAGGGGAGCCGTGTACGAACGTGTACGCGGCTGTACGTCATATTTTAAGACTGCAGTGGATCTGATGCTTTCATTTGTTGCGCTGTTCACACTAGCCTGTTATTTGAAAAAACCTGACGATCAGCTTTAAATATTAAATCTTATACATTTACGAAAACCATTAAATTGAACCATTGCGAATGGGTTTTGAAATGTGTAGGATTGACATATCACTGAATATCAGGCAGATTTTCGGGTTAGATGATTATAGCTAAACCAACTTGTAGATAAATACACAAGGCAGACAGCTCATTAACGGCCATATTTAATCCAGTTAAATGTAACTCTGTCGTCAGATGGCACCGCGGCACTGACTGACTTTTTTAAATTGCAACTAATTAAATAAGACTAGTAACAGAAGGAATATTACTGATTGCAGATTGGAACATCTTGAGATGTTCGGTTGGCCAAAAGATTCTAAGATGTGAAGATTTAGCTAGTTCTTTCATATAGTTATATTTATAATGGCATAACCAATGAGGGCTACTATTGTAAACGTCGTCTGAGAGAAAACTTATAGATATTTAACTCCAACAATCTCGATTTTAACGATATTTTCAAGGTTGATATCAAAAGTACCTTCGAATATTTTCGATAATTTCACGAATAAATCGTACATTGTCCTTATAAGAAGCTTCATAATTTGTACCTTCATTGGCTAAGTGAGACCAAATCAATACGGAATATTGACATTGTGTTTGGTAATTTTTGTTTCTTATATTATTCTTCATAGTCACCATACACCATTATATTTATTGCCAAAATTATTTGTTATCAATATTGTATTTATTACTTTTTAGTATTGATGTTTAGTTTTATTACGATTTACTAGATGCTGTGAAATATAGCGAGTTTGCTTCAAGAAATATTTCGATGACACAAAGTATTGTCATTATTTGACATGATTCGAATTATTTATATTATGTACTCGTACATTTACCATGATCTAACATACACACCAATACTGTCTCGTCATGGTAGAGGTATTCAGTGTCGCTACACAAGTTATTTTGAATCCTACACGTACGTTTTTTTTTTAAAGAAAATGTATAAGTGCCATAATTACTGTCACTCGCTGTACCTTGAAAAATGATATTAGCTCAATTGTCTACACGTTGATTAAAAATTTAACGCATCCTGTTACCCGTCCATTTAGTTACATTTTAGACCCAGTAGTGCTCGATAATTTATCACGGTTCACGTGATATAAGAGGCGATAAATAAGGCATCGCTTGTCTACTTAATACTTTATAAACATGGCAATTATGAGTCAAGTCTGCTGAGTTGCAAAGATGCCTCATTTTATCGTGCCTCCAAATTTAGTTAGTGTGTGCAAAAAAAATGTTTCTTGTATAAAAAAGGTCTGCGCGTAGATTTTAAAATACGATTATCTGAAATCAATACTGTATATAGTTAAAAATTATGATAATTTCTGCAAAGAGAAGACTGATTGTTCAGGCATGAAGGGATTAGTTTTAGATTTCCCGATTAAATTTAAGTTTTACCCTGTATATTGAAAATTAGTTGTGTAAATGATGTATGGTATCTGCAGCAACGTGGTTAAGTATATGCCAAAGCATTGAAGATAACTATGGCGCTAGATATAAAGTGTATTATGCAAAATTATTGTTATGATATGAAACATGTTAGATAGGCGTCTGTCAGATTCCATATTAGTTGAATGAAATTAAATAGCGAAACGAAATAGCATTATATCAACATTGTTGTGAATGTTTTGTCAGTGTAAAAATCGTTACTTACGTCGTGAAAACTCCGTAAGATTTCAGTAATAAATTGTTTGAAGATTACAGATAGATGTATTATTATAAATACATTTACTTCGAAAATGCATATGATTTTGTTACGTAAGTAAATCGAAATTATTGATCCTTATGTAATCGGACGTTAGTTGGTATATTTAAATTACATTTGCTTAATATTAAATGGGAGTGAGACTGTTGCCAAATTTTAAACAATAACTTGACATACAATACACGGGTCTATATCGCTTGTATTTTTCGAACTGTTCACAATTTTCAAGAATGATATACTATTTCTAGTATTAACTTGAATCCATATTTACGATTTTTAACAGATTACAAGTTATAGTAAACCCGTTTTTTGGAATTATCCATAACTTATTTATATCAAATCTTTGACTATATTAATTCCATTTTTATTCGTGCGATTGAATGTTCATTGTTGTGGTTTGACTTATTGGACTTGTAGATAGCGCATCATTATTTTATTTGAATTTAATTTAAAAATGGCGTATTGTGTACGCGTTATTGTGTGTAAATAAATGCTCTCGCTTAAAATGATTCCAGTTAAGAACATTACCTACATCCAAAGTCCAAAAATATTTTTTCTCAAAATTTAATTCAAGTTATTTATCAAAATGTACAGGTAATTGTAAGTAGGTACATACTCTAATGTTTATCTTAATTTTTTAAATATACATATATCATGATTTTTTCTAAGTGTTTCATTGACATAATATTTTTTTTATAAAAAGAGACACTGAGTAGTTTTCAATTTAAATTGCTGCGGAACGAAAGTGCCAATTCTCGTGACTCCGCCTTGAGGCTCGGTTGTTAGGTCTAGATGTTTTACATGACAAGGATGGTGGATTTCAATATTGTTTCTGATTTTTTAGAAGAAGAGCAAAGGTAGAACAGAAAAAGATAATTGGGTTCATAATTTTAATAAGAACCGACTAATTCACGACTTTTTCTGAGTGCAATCAGATCTAAGCTAGAAGCTGTGGGTCTTGAGATTCAAAAACGGCGCCGCCGGAATAAGCTTATTCCAGGGTGGACAGTAAAATATCCTTATATCGGCATAACGACAATCTAGTTTTTTTCGACTAGAACCGACCGGACTAAATCACGACATCTAAGCTAGGTGGTTCTCGGGATTGAGAAATGGTGCCGCTGGAATAAGCTTATTCCTCGATTACTATTAGAACCGCTCGCTGTCGTCAAAACGCACACAAACAAATGATAAACACTATGAAATCTTGCTAATCATTGGTCGTAGTTTCTAATACAAAAAGAAACAAATTCAGGGCTGTTGTTTAAACTTTACGCAGTCGCTATTTCGTTGTAAGGTCAAAAACTTTATTGGAAGTTATGATTTTAAGTTACTAAGGTACGAAGTTAGTTTTTATTGAAATTTTATTCAACGTGCTGACATCTTGCGGCCAGTAGCTGGAATACTAACATCTGATCGAATATAAAGTATCTTCTCGACAAAATTATATCTGCCTTCTTTGGAGCATTTTTTCGTGAAGCTTTTGTTTGCTACTAGAGTAGAAAATTCGAGATGTTTACTTTGATGAATATGGTCGAGCTTTATCTTTTGGAGAACGAAAAGATAAAGCAGTCTTTTGGAGAACCAAAAGATAAAGCAGTCTTTTGGAGAACCAAAAGATAAAGCACGACCATATTGCTCTAGGATAATGTTTATTTTCGTTTGTTACAGTAGGTACAAAAACTCAACTCGATGAACAGAAAATCTCTGATTGCAAAACAATAGGCAGATGGAGCGCGACGAATACGACAGCGAATTACCAAAGCAAATACAAATTCGAAAGCGAGTACAATCTCGCCATCAGTACTAAATTGGTATTGGTACCTACTAAACAAAGCGTCGCACTGTGTACGTAACTTCACAGGTTCTAAAGAATTTCATTTGGAACCAGACAATTTTTGTCAATTTAGAAGATGAGTATCAATCCTATGGAAATGATCACGAAGTTAATAAAAATTAGTACAAAATAATGGTTATTATTAAGATATTGTGTAACCAACGGTGATTGTAATAAATATTGTGTATTAACAATGTTTCTCAGTTTTATAATATCTTAATAAAATATTTTTTCCTTTTGTGATGTAAATCAATGAAAACAATTAAATATTTTTATTATGTTGCTTATAATCATGGTATAACCACTCGATGCTTATAGGTTATTTGATATACAAATACTACTTAAGTACCTATATAGCAAAATAACAATTCCAGTTCGCAACATTAGTATTATAAAAAGCAACAGAAAAAAAGGCTTTTTTCACTACATCTGGCAATCTTACACACACGCATGTGCGCATGTCCCTACAGTGCCACGTGAGTGCCATTCAGTTCCTTTCCAACTGCCTATTGCTTTGTAATCTGAGCAGAAAATTGAAAATTATGAAATACCACCTTGGTGCTGTGCCATCCATCTTGGTACAGTGATAGACATCACTTTTGCACTCCAAAACAGCACTATAAGTGCAATGCAAGCATTTTTCTACGATTTTAGAGTATTTGACACAACCGTAACGTAAAAAGCGGCGGAAAAAAATATTGGCGGACTGCGCTCAAGTAGGCGGAACTACGTCTACAGTTGGTACGTGTGATATGTTAAAAAACCACTTCTACGTATAATTTATTGCCCTGTGGGAGTGGCCATGGGATTTGTAAAGGGCCCAAAATTTTGTCTTGTTTGAAATAACATATAGGTATATGCGATTTCGCGAACTCGACAGTTCTGTAATAACTTTATTATAACCTACTACGTCATCTAAGCAAATATATGTCTTTATAGACTTAGTAATGCACTGTGAGTGGATTATAAAATTTTCAATTTCGATTATTTCTTATCCGGACAAACAAAAACAATATTAAAATAAACATATTTATTCACATGTCAATATGCGCACTATTTCTTCTTCTTTTTACCCCGTGTTTTGTGCTTCAGACGCTGTTTGATCTTCTCCTTACGTAAACGTTCTTTAACAATCTGCTGTTTGTCACGAAATTCTTTCAACGAGCCTGTGGCTTTCTTCTTGGCTATTCGCTCGTTGTGCTTCATCCAGTGAGGTCGGAATTCGGAAGCTGTTAATGTAGGTTTATTATTATTTAATTACTAATTATGATCATTGTGGTCTAGTAGATGTAATGTCATACAGAATATATATTCCTACTCAGCACACAAAATTGAAAAAATTAAAACACACATGCTCATTTTTCCACCTAAACAGTTTGGTTCCAGTTGGCTGTGACGGCCGAGTTTAAACCAAAATATTTTCATAGGTGCTTCTGTTATGGTATCCAGAGGTGTTGAACATTTTTAACAATTATATAAAAATGGAGTTGGACATTTAATTAGACATAGCAAACTGGCAGTACTAATGTCAATGTTATTATATAGTGATTGATTTGTTTTAAAACTAACTAAAATATCATTATAAATAGAAATAATTGTAAAATAGAATTTGGTAAATAAAGGTGCAAAGATTTTTGACGAATAATCTGCTAAACAATTTCATTTACATGTCCTTTCGACATATTTGAATCATTTTACTGTTACCTTTTTGATTAATACCTCCAAAAAGATATACTGTAATGAGCTACTGAGTGAATCGGCAAATAAAGTCGATCTTTTAAGTCAAAATTATTTTTATTGCATTACAACAAACTAACTAAACGTCAGTTTACTGTCTCTTATGATAAATTCGACTATACCTGTAGTAGCACCGAATGTAGTTACCAAATGTAGAACGTTCTCCTGTAATGCTAGTAAGTAAAATAACTAACCAGATTTCTTCCTATTTCCTCCAACACGGGGCGTTTGTTCGTCGTCAGAGTTGAACTCCGCCTGGGCATTGCGCTTGCGCCAGTCGTCGTAGCGGCCACTGCGGAAGGATGCCGGCACGCGGCCGCCGCTCTCCGTTCGGATCATTTTGCGGCCGCCGTCCTGGGACACACCATGATTTATACTTTCAGCTACTGACTTGTGTACATATATGACCTTGTGGATACAATTGTATTTTTAGGTATAACGTTAGATGCTAAATTTCCAGTGGGGTCCACATATAAGTAAGTTATCAAAACGGCTCAGCTCTGCAGTGTACGCGACTAAAAAAATACGGAAACTTTCAGACGTCGAAACCGCCAGATTGGTTTACTTCAGCTACTTTCAGTCTAATGACATACGGCATTTTGCTTTGGGGTAATGCCGCCGATATCAATAGAATCTTTGTCCTGCAGAAACGTGCGATTAGGGCAATTTACAATCCGGGCCCCAGAGCACATCCCGGACACTTCATACAACGGTCGAAAATTATTTACTTGCTACTACTACATACAACAAGGCGCTATCTGCACACGCGCGAATGTGTGCGTGAAGTGGCAGGGTTACCTACCCATCACTTGCTCGTACTATTACGTTACGTGGTCAGAGCGGTAACATAGCGAAAATTGTGACGCGAATCTGTTATCTATAATTCTATAAAATATTCCTAATAATCACACATGTTCATTACGTGTTTACATCGATATAATATTATATTTTTTATTAATTCACTAACTAGAATAATATTGAAGATTTATTTATAAAATATATTAAAAGCACTTAAAATGTTATATTTTGGACAAGTACCTTTAAATAAGGTAACCAAAGTATTTGAAATTGCGTGTCCAACTTTATCATTACCTAGTTAATAATTAGGTACATTCACTACGTAATATTTATCGGCAATACAAATTGAAAATTCTAGAATCCTTGTCTAGCTCACGAAGTTATGGCGTCTTATTATATCGATATAATAAATCTGTATATATATTACTCTGCACTAAAGAAAACAATCAAAACAATGTGCGGGGCGTGGTGCGGTATCTAAAGCTAGGGAGGGGCGGAGAGTGTCCGTTCTCATTACTTATTTGTTCTCTGCCCGGAGTATCTTTGAGAGATAAGTTTAAGGAAATTAACATTCTTACACTAGCGTCACAGTACATTTATGAAAATGTAATTTATGTTTCTCTATGAAAAATAGTGACAAACATAACATTAATCCGAGGAATAAAAACAAACTAGCTGTTCTTGATAGTCGTCTTCACAAAGTCACACGTTCATTTAAGGGGCAATATAACAAGATTCCGGTTGATATATAAAATTTGCCGTTCACGAGGTTTAAAACTATAGTGAAACAAAAATTTTCTACAAAAGGCTTATAGACTTCTGCGTAGTTGGATGACAAAAATAAGTGGTAGTAACCCGTTTAGCTCATGGAGGTAGTCTCGATCTCTGATGCTTGAAAAACAAAAATATATATTGTAAATGTTGAAAGTGTACAAATGGTGTTTACAAAGAGCAACCCCTAGAGTTTCTTGCTCATTCTTCTCATGGGAATCTGCCTTACGAATGAGCGGTAGAGTTTAACCAATGTGACGATTTCAAGTGTAATAATGCTTACCTCTATGAAATAAAGATTATTTTAATTTTATCTATGCATATACGTTTTACAAAATTAATAACGTCATCTAGCCATCTAGAGGCGCGATTTTGACCTTTTCAGAGTTACGATCTGTAGTATGGAGATTTAGCAGTCCTCGTGAGTTCATGATTATGACAAATTGGAGGGGCAGTTTTAAGCATTAAGTGGCACTGTATGACTCTTCCTGGTGCGTAAAAAACGCTTATATAAGTACACTATTAGAGCTACTTACAGGGTCAACATGGACCATCTTCTTGCGCTTGCGATCCCAGCGCAGCTGGTTGTTGTGCGCACGCGCCGCCTCGCCACTGTCCGCGCCCAGCTCTAGCTCCGCCGACGACGCGCCGGCGTTGAAGTTCACTGCCATGCTAAACGAACACGTTGAATCAACGGCTGACGGTTTACTTACCCCGGGGGTCGGACGTGTAGTTATCATAACAAGTGCTAGCAAGCGAGAAGGTAACATAGTGACGTTAGATTTATGTCCTCACCAAATTGCGGTACTAGCATTGATTTCCTCACATAGACACAATGAACACTTTAAGTCAAAAGTCAATATTCACAACCCCCATTTCAATAATTATAACTTTTTTTTAATATAAAAAAGGACCTCAAAAGTTTGCTTATTCGTTTTTGTGTTATTATATTTTCATTGGAATTACATCTACATATGTGCTACGTTTTATTGAAATCGTTTACGGAAAGTGGGTGAAATTCAATAAACCGGATTCATCCCCTAATTTGCCACCCTTACAGGTGAAATATTTTCATCACATTGCCTCTGAACTGCCTCCGTGGCCGAACGGTTACCATGCCGGACTGCCACGCAGAGGTCCCAGGTTCGATTCCCGGGCCGGGCGAAATATTTGTATGACCTACATTTATTTCTCTCGTGAGTTTGGGTGTAATTTGTGTGTGCGTTATTATTATTATTACATTTGAATGGGACTACTACTAAATTATTCCGTTTCCATAAAAAAAGAATTATCGAAATCGGTTCAATCGCGTAACATACACACAAACAGACGTATTGGGAACGTCTTCCTTTTTTGAAGTCGTTTAAAAATAAGATATACGACGAGCTGATAGAAAATACATTATAAGGAGATGAATTGCGAAATTCCAGACAAAAGACGATCTCGCAAAACTAAACGCACTAAACCTCATCCTGGGTGGCAATAGATGTAACAAATTAATAGAATTTATTTTAATGAAAATTGTTGAGGACATTTATGTAACTCACCCAACTTCCGTATGCTGATCACTTGCAAAGTGCGGAATATAATTTTCGTCCCGAACGACTTCTTTTTTCTTCTTTGATGCATTTTTTAATTTCACTTTCGGCTGTGGTTCGCCGTTTACTAAGAGTCCTTCTGCCTGAAAAAAAAAAAGACCAACTATAGCTGGTAGTCATATACACAAGATACCTGAGCCCCCAAGCAGACTTTGTCGACCTTTTTTGTGACCTGTGAGCCGTAAAATTTATTTTGGTATGACTCCCTGGTCGACTCATTAGTGAATGACATTTTGAGAACGTTTTTAAGCGAATTTGATCTTTAACGTATGTACGGTTCTTACTTAAATACAGAACACGAATTTCAACCAGCTTTAGTAACGCCGTCGTGACCAAACGGTATAAGGATTGCTTTGCAAATTGAGGCAAGCATGGTTCGAGTCACTTTAAAAATATAATATTAGGGGTTAAAGTATGAAATTGCCGTTTTATTGCAATAGGTTCTTTGAATTTTCATAGAATCTTCATGGTTTGAGGTTTTCGAATGAAACTTTTTTCAAATGGTTTCTGTAATTTTTTTTTTTTTAATTTGAAACATTTGAATATCGACGTTCAATTGTTTTTGTTATTCAATTTAGACAAGAAAGATGGATACTGCGAAAATTCGAGTGATTTTTGAATACGAGTTCCGACGCGGAACTAACGCGGCAGAAACAGCCCGCAATATCAATGCTGCGTTTGGAGAGGGGTCTACTAATGAACGCACCGTGCGATTTTGGTTTAAACGCTTTCGTGATGGAAATTTCGACTTAAAGAACGAGCCACGAGGAAGACCGCCCACACAGGTGAATAACGATGAATTAAGAGAGATAGTGGAAGCCGATCCTAGTCAAACTACCCAGGAATTAGCGGCATGGTTTAACGTTACCTTACCCACAATATTGACTCACTTGCGTCAAATCAATAAAATAAAAAAATACGAAAAATGGGTGCCTCATGATTTGACTGATCTGCAGAAAGAAACGCGTGTTGAAACTTGTGTTGCCTTGTTGAACCGGTACAGAAATGAAGGAATATTGGATCGAATTGTAACATGTGATGAAAAGTGGATTCTTTATGATAACCGGAAAAGAAAAATGCAATGGCTGACCCCAGGTCAAATGCCACAACAGTGTCCTAAACCAAAACTTACCAATAAAAAGGTAATGGTAACTGTTTGGTGGTCTCAGCATGGTGTTATTCACTATAGTTTTCTCCGATCTGGTCAAGCAATAACGGCAGATGTCTATTGTGCCGAACTCCGAACCATGTTGACAAAACTAGCAGTAAAACAGCCCCGACACATGAATCGATCTTCACTATTATTGCTCCACGACAACGCGAGACCTCACACAGCACGAGAAACCATTTTGACCCTTCAGGAACTGCAGTTAGAAACCATTCGTCATCCTCCGTATTCATCAGACCTTGCTCCAACGGACTACCATTTTTTTCGTGATTTGGACAATTATCTACGTGACAAGAAGTTTTCTTCCCAGGAGGCAGTACAAAATGCTTTCACACAGTTTGTGCAGTCTAGATCGTCGGAGTTCTATCGCAAAGGCATTAATAACCTTCCCATTAGATGGCAGCAATGTATAGATAATAATGGCAACTATTTTGATTAAATAAATTTGTTAAAAATTTAATTTATTTGTTAAAAAATAAACAATTTAGATTTTCAGTACAAATCGGCAATTTCATACTTTAACCCCTATTATTGTTTAGCTATGTAATATTATTTTTTGTTTTTAACATCTGGATAGGTGTAAGGAATGTCTAAGTCTTGTTCATACAGAACAATAATTTCTAATTTTAATAATTCCGTTAATAATAATAATAATCATCATTTATTTCGGACTATAAATCCAGTGTTAGTAACAAAATAACTTAAAAAATTAGTGTTAGTAACAACTGGGGAAGTATATTTTAATATTTATTTATTAATGAGATTCTCCTGTAGAAAGGTTCGAGGCGCAGCTACCGGCTTGGTGCCGTGTGCAGCTGCACCCAGCAGCGCCCCACTATCGGAGAGTCCCATCTAGCGGCAAGGGTGCTAAGGAAGAAGGAAGGAAGGAAGGGTCATTCGTGCTGCCTCGTAGCCGAGTTAGGAGTGAGACACAACGCTTTCGTATGACTGAATAAAAGCAATCTGTACGAGACTCAGCAAGCATAGTGGAGGCACTACAGTAACGCGGCAACTTAAATATCACCCTAAAAGCATTATTATATAGGACGCGCAGTGCGCCGTATGCAGGCTGCGTAAAATTGACCCACAGGCTGCACGTGTAGAAGGACTGGCAATATGCTTTGAAAAGCAAAACCTTAACCTGGTCGCTACTACGTGCAAACCTCCGTGCCAACATATTACACCATACAGACAGCGCCCTGCGCTCCCGTTCTACATATATCTAAATTATCATTTAGATCATCAGTGACCCAATGTCCCAGATATTTAAACCGGATGTCCCAGATACTTAAGTGCGGCATATTAATATAAGAAAGATAACTTTGAAAGTCACTAAAACCTTGAAAGTAATTAAAACTGAATAGATAAATAGGAACGAAACGTGGAACAATGCGTAATCATAGAAGTCGCGATCGTATGCAAGCTGCAGAGCTATTTCGTGATTTGTTAATCTATTCATACCCACCCTACGCTTTATTAATAATATCTACCCACCCACCTTAGGCAATTTCTAATGAACAAATATTATGATTTGTCAACGTTAACATTCAACAGTGAAACGATGCTGTTAAAAATATAATGCTATAACAAAACAGTGCATGCGTGGAATCAAACCACGGGTATTGTAACTGGCAGTCGATACAACAAACCGCTCGTCCAATTTACTTAGAAGTTAAAGGACGAAATTTAGTATTGGTTTTAAAGATATGTTGATTATCTTCAAGCAACACTCCACTACATAATAAAGTTGAAATTACTTTTTCTTTGTTCAATATGTAAGATGGCTCTCAGATCCAAAAGGTCGGTGTGGGCATGTTAGGGAGTCAGGTATCTCATGTATATGACTGTACACTTGAATGCCCGCAGTAGGCAGGTGCACTTGAACTTAGCAAGGTGAAACATTTAAGGGATAAACCAGCTACTAAGTTAGTACTTCGGTCTACACTTTTTTTATATATTCCAATGTTGATTACCTTTTGCCAACATCTATTTTATACTCCGTAAAATTTAGCTTGATTAGAAAGACTTATCTCAAACTTCATGAATCAGTGATGGAACACAAGCAGTGAAATCGAGAATCGATGTTAAAATATATTGACTGAACAATTATGTTATACATATTTAAATCAGTACTAATTGTTAATATAATGGCAATAACTGAAATCAAGTTATAAAATGCATTAAACAGAGCCACCTCATGAGATTATGGTGAATAGGCGTGGCACAACTATTTGTTAATTTGATAGGTAGGTAGATAAACGTTCATTTAGCACAAATACGAGAAGAAACAAACATTTACAATCACTTCACAAGGTATAGCACAAAAGCACATAGACTATTATATAATAATAATAATAACGCACACGCTCATAGCTCCGCACTAGGGAAACCCTGTATCGCAGGTGCGATGGACGCACACACAGACAACCACAAATTACACCCAAACTCACAAGAGAAATAAATGTACAAGAGTGGATCAACTATTTTCTGTACTGAATAAACTTTTTGTGTAAAAAAACAAATTCTGTTATTATGCTCAATCTTCGCCTAATATTGCTACATAATCTTCTGTAGTTTATAAATCTATAACGAGCATCGAACTTCGTTGAGTTTTTCCAGTAGTTTTATGCCTTTATTTCAGAAATGACACTTTATAACGTCTCCTACCTAACATATATAAGTTATGTAATATCAATAAGTATATTAATGAATCAATATGACACTATCATAACTAAAAAAACAGTCTCATTATTTTAAAAATAGATCACATTGTGTCTCCGGAGTCACAGAGTAAAATGAACTGGAAAACTTTTCTTGTAACTCTGTTCCTAGAAACACAAAAAAGATGCACTTAATATGTAACTACCGACCGTCATTCTTTAAGGTTGTTACGTACAAAACTTTGATCTATAACTTTTTAGTTAAATTAAAATTGCACAAAAATATCACACAAAATGGGGACAAGTTGTGAGTCCGCAGACATACCAGGTGACTCAAGAGACACAATTATTTGTACGACATACGTAAAGTCGATTTGTTGGACAATTAAGCTTATACAAAATATCTTAAAATATAACAATCAGCCGCTGGTTCTATACCTAGAGTAATCATGGAAAAAGAAACAGTAACCAAATTGAATCACACTTGGTGTTCTTTTATATTCCTCATATTTTACAGGGACCTTTTTAATATTTTCCTTACATCGTCTTTGCCTCTCAGCTGCGATAGTCGCATGGTAACTGCTTTTTATGTAGTTAGGTTATGTAATGCTAGTATTAAAAAATCGTAAGCAAACTGACTTAAATCTGTTTGTAAATAAAAAAACAATTGCTTTAAAAATGTATAATGAATCTGTGCTTGATACACGTTCATTAAACAGAAGCTCTAGCTTTCTACTAAAAACAGTACTAAAAATATCTAAGCTCGATTCAGATTGAGTATATTTTTGAAATATCGGTATATAAACTAAAATTTCAAAAACACCATTAGAATTTCCGTTTGCTAAGTTTAGATTTTCATTTATGAATGGCTCTTTAATTAATTATGTTTTGTATTTACTTATAACGGAATCTTTATTAAGCACTTGGGGTCACCAAAATTGTCTCTTGAGTCACAGTTTTCGTGACGTCAGTCAGGAGACAAACTACGATTTTTAATTATTTTTCTTCAAGAATTTTTATGAAAATAACGTAACACATGCATGTAAAGCATTTCAGATTTAAATATCCAAATATGAAAATAAAATTTGTATGAAAAGTTATTTGCTTATCGAAATTTCGTCGTCACTCCGGAGACGCACAAAACACACGCTGTCACAAAATTTCACCAAAAATACACAATTAAGTTGAAAAAGCTACAAGTTATTCATGTAACATTTTAAATAATACTGCCAACCTATTTCTCGACGTGTTCCTTTTTTCCATAACTGAAGTTGTAAAAAAAAACAAAAATATGGCGGATTTTTGTAGTTACAATTTTTACACAAATGAATTTTTAGTTTAAGTATTTTTGTGTGTTTTCAATTTCTTAATTATTTGTTACCTGTTTAAACTGATGGCTCCATAGCCAATACTCAATAAATAAATAATAATTATGAAAATAAACATTAACTATATTTCATAGTTAATTTACTCCAATAGGAGGATTTGATGAATGCAATTATGGAAAATTACTATGATTTACTGGTGTTTAAAAAACATGTATGATTTGTAAGACGCTGTTATAAATTTACCTCGTCTTAATTTTGCCGATTTGTCATTCTAATCAAGCTAAATAAAATTTTACGGAGTATAAATTCAAATTTACCTGTAACTTTTTATTGTCTCTAGTTTTCTGCACCGCTTTGCCGTGAGCCTGTTTCTTTGCCTTCATAGCCATGTACATTGGTGAATCACTTTTTGCTGACAATTCCAATATAGTCTGAAAATAAACGAAAACATTTATAAATAAAAAGAAATTAGACTTAGCACACATAAAAACATATTCATAGATTTCTGATATATGGCGCTACGGTAAAAAAGTCGGTTAAAACCAAAAACAAAGATTTGCAACAAACACACAAATTTGTGCGGGTCTGCTGGTCTCAAAGAATTTCACTTTCGATCATTGTATTAATAATTACAACAAAAAAGAAATATTAGTGGTGTAATTTCATCAAAAAAATCATAGTAGTAAAACACCGTGATATTCAATAAAGTTAATGTTACAATTTATTTATTTATTTATTTAAAGATACACCATCAACTTAACACAAAACAATATTAAAAAAAAATACACACAGGTTCACTATACAAGGTGCCAAGTCACTACAGGTGTATACATCACTAAAATTTTTTTTAAATTATTAATATTGTCACAGTTTGAGAAGCTGGCAAGTATCATTACCACGCGTGTGTGCAGTTTTAAAAAACTAGATATTTCTTGTAAGACACAACATGAAAGTTCATAATAAAAGTCAGTGCGTTATTAATATTTTTATTATAGCTTTGATATCTTTCTTCGTTCAGGGGGCAAATGATTTCAGGTCGAGGAATACACGTTCTAAAAACAGACTTTCAATAACATCAAAGCATCTATATATTTTAATCAATATGAATTATTTTACGAGTGTTCTTTGACATTAATTTCGGAACGCGGAAACGTCTGTTACAAATTATGGTTACGATCCGTTTTTCCGTTTTTATGGAGGCCATTAATTTCGTCGGAATATGCCATAATGAATTGTGAGAGGACGCACGGCTATTATAGCATAATGTCTAAGTATATACGAATAATTTGAACTAACAAACACTGCGTCAACCCTAGTTGTACCAAAACCAACAACGGGAGTACTACAAGGCTACAGCCTTCCACTTGCTACGATTCTGACATACACCTTTAGCCTCATTAACACGCGTCAGTGCACATGTTCGTCTACCACTTTTACTTATTGATATTATTGAAAAAAAAAAATACAAATCGGATTAGTGTTTAGTTGAATAAACAGCAGAGAAAATCAAGGAACCAAAAACATTTTTGTGAAGTGGGTTAAAACAATAGTCATATATATTTTTATAAAGACCTTACCCCTTTCGGCGTGTAGTTCTTAATTTGCTGAACAAGATCATTAGCAGTATTGTTACTCTCGTCAACCAAGAACGGATGAGTCATTGTAGGTATTGATGTGTTTTTGGCACGTTTGTTGGCCTCGGCAGAAGCTGGTTCGCGCCATTTAATGTATTGCTGCCAGCCGCGGGAACAGACGCGGGCTGCGTCTTCCTATAATAAATTTACAGTATAGATTAGAATAACAAGACAAACAATTAACACTACGCTAACTTGAAAATTGCAACTTGTCACCAGGTGAAAGTTACGATAACCTTTTTATTTTCAAATATATTAATCATTTCTTTGCCGCAAGTTATTCATCATAGATATAATATTGATTAAATTCTATCGCTCATTCGTAAGGCACATTCCGTCGAGAAGAATGAGCAATAAGCTCTCGGGTTGCTCTTTGTAAATGTACACTTGAATATATTTATCATTTAAAATATTTACATAGATTCGGCCAGGAGCGTGGTAGAACAGCCGAATATTCGGTTTCAACTGTTCGGCCTGATTACGCGCACGTACGAGTGTAATGTAATTGGCCCGAAAAATACGACTTATTAACTTAAATTATGATAAATAATTTTGTACAATGAAACAAAAAAGTTATTTTATTTTCAAAGTCTATAATTCAAATTTTTGACATCCTAATGAAGACAGTAATCGTTCACGTTCATTTACAAATACTTAAAACATGTGGTTGATTTTGTTAGAGTTTTTTTAGTGATGATAGAACTACATAATAATCAAATAGTTTACATTGGATTTGTTACCTTTTTATGCCTTTTTTCTTTTAGTTAAACAAGCGAAAAATTGTGCTTTCTCGAATTTAACTAACTTTTGTTTAGAATTTATATTAGTTACATGATAATTCACTGTTTCTTCTTATTTCTTCCTCCTGTTTTAAGGTATTCGGTATTCAGCCGAATAGCAAAAAAAAACAGACCGAATAAGCTTTATACCGAATATTCGTTGCAACTCTATGAAACCGTTATTAACCGTTATTAAACCGTATTTTTTGATATATTAAATATCTATCATGTTTGACCTGTGCGCAGTAGTGAGATGTAATTTTATAACTCCTGGCTACTGCCATAACTAACTCTTCCCTTGTCTTTATATGAGCGTCTGACGCTAAGATAGCAAATTTCGTAGAGAACTAAAATATAAAAATATATATAACTCGACTACTACGACGAAAACACATATATTTATTTGCGGCCTATCGTGTTACCCTAGGGGCAAAAACTAAATTGGTCACAGGATACCGTAGTAAGCACTGCCTTGGATAGCACTTAAGGGATGCATATTTTTTATCTACGTATGAACCCTTGCAAGACCTCCGGGTCTTCTTTAAATGAAAAGTTCTGTATTTTTATTTGTTTGCGTTAAAACTAAAAAAATAAAAACAACACTCACGATTTCGGAGTACATCTTCTCCCAATTCACGACATCCTGGTGACGTAGTTCTAGCTGCCCGGTAGGCATGGTGCCCCACACCCCGCTTTCACACGCCGAGCCCGTTTCTTTTACCTATTTAATTATATTTTCTTTAAATTTTGTATTATGTTATACATTCTGTCTAATGTGAATCATTTACCTAGGGTACATTTATAGTATAGTGAACTCACATAAGTTTTCTGTTTGCTCTAGCACTTTAATTATTTAATGTTTGCACATCATTACATTCATAACAACTGTAAGTGAGAGGTAAACACCTCAAGTGCCTAATAGTATTTCTTATTACCTTTTTAAAGAAAGTGAGGCTCTTAACTAGAGTTTCAAGTCAATCTTAAGATCAAATAAAAAACAAGGTATGATAGGACTTCTCTAGGTCTTTTACCATTGCGTGATTTTTGGCATTTTAAGTCAATGTTTGTAAAAACATCTAATTTCCAAAATATGAACCTAAGGTCCTTTACCTCTCACCTACAGAATTGTACATTGCAATGTACTACTTATAATACACAACTATAAAGAATGCTAACAGTTAGTGACCGAAAACTTCAATCATGAATTGTACTTGTTATTCTGAATACAATTTGAAAGGGAAATATTTTTGAAGACATTAAAATAGTCATGGGTAAGTTGAAATATGTGGAAATAACCTGCGTTGGAGTCTTCAACTCGGCACCGAGGAACAACTGCAAGTCGAGTAGATGGGCGACGTCATCAGCTGCGACGAGCGAGAATGCCCGGCCTGCCCGACCAGCGCGCGCGCTGCGTCCTACGACATCGCTACATTATGTCTATCTAAAGCAGTCGTTCCCAAGCTTTTTGACTTCTAAGCCACATGTCAATTTTTTCTGTTCTGCGTGGACCCCCCGTATTTCTGATATGGATTTTTTGCAATTTTATCAAATTTTATTTTTAATTACTTTAAATATGCTATTTGACAGCTGGCACAGTGCTACTCACTTTGTTAAGTATAACTGCAGACTGAGAAACTTTATAAAAACACATTAAGTACCTTTAAGATTTATACTTTTATTTAACCGAATACAGCTCCATATTTTGATTATTGATAAATGTTTATTTTATAATTTATGTTTATTACAAGAAAATATTATGCATGAGTGGGTACTATCCGCGTAATGTGGATTACTTCATTTATGGAAAGCCAAAATTATGATCACGACCTGCCTAAATATAATAATAATAACCATTGACCTACCAATAAATGGACGTCGTGTTCGCGTTAAACTGTCCGCACCTGTAGGGCGTTAAAATCGCATACAGAGCGTCAATCGCGCAATAGTCTTCGTTTGTTCGAGTGATAGCGCGGTTGTCAATCATGCAGTACCAACAATAATAACTTGTAAAAATTACTGCAGTAAAGTGTGGAAACAGGATTTTGTATCATATTTTCACTAAACAAATATATTGTGTTATCATAGTTGTCATTTAAAAGTGTTATTTTGTACAGTTTTATAGTATTTAATTTATATATAACTAAATCATAAATATAAATTACAAAAGCATACGAAATAATGAAATAGCTAACTGTCCTTTTTCTGCTCATTGCATGCGCAAAAGATGGAAAGAGACCCATTACGTTTCAAGAAGCTTATATAAACTTCTTGGTCATTTTCAATTGTTCGAACCACAAGTGATTGGAATATTTAGAGCAAAGAAACTGTAGAGTGGCTTTGATTTTAATCCTATTTTCAAAATGATTTTTTTATTAAACGTTAGCAATAACTAACAAAATGTTGTTGTACACGTTTTACGGCATGGGATTACCTATCGGAAGTCAGAAAATACATTTGCCCGAAATAACATTAGTTCAAATTTTCGTAATGTGTTTTTACGAAGATTATAAAACAAAAGCTAATTTTGTCTATGTAAAAAGCGTCAAAATTACTCGAAAGCGTAACGGTTTTATTATAAATCGAAATTACTGATATTTCAGTTTACGTTTAGTTAGAATATCGGCACATTTCTTATAGTACACGCTTATTTTCACAATTGTAGTAATATTTGTATGTATGTATCTGCCCAACTCTTTATTATACCTTTAAGTGAATTTGTACAAAATTTGACATAATAATATATATGTATAAATTAATTAATATTTACGAGAAAGGCTATTCCATTACTCTTGTGTTCAAGTAATTTTTAGTCGAAGCTAAATATGGTGCATTTTGTTAAGTTTCCAGTAGAAGCTGAATATGGTGTTTTTGGGCCCTTAAATTGTTGTAAGCAAATTTAGGCAGTGCTGCAATGACGTTACAATTTAAATTGATGATGATGTTTTAGTTTTTTATATTTCCTAACATGTCACTACGTTTGTATAGGTTAACCTCGGAATTTTTTTTCGTGGTTTTTGTATTAGACTCGATATCCATTTTTTGGTAGGTCAATGATAATAACGCACAGATTCAACATAGTCCCGTACTAGGATAACCCTGTGTCGCGGTACCATGGACACACACTTCCCCACGAGTTAACATCCAATCCAGTACGGTACAGTACAGTACCGCGTGATTCCTGATTAACGCACACGTATACAAATGCGTACTAGGCTTGCGCGAGTTTAATTGTGGTGAAGTGCGACCGTGTCGATATGGGTCAGATACCATTATTTCTAGGATGTTAATATTTATAATATAAATTTATAATCTCCTAAAATGAAGAATGTAAGAACTTATTTAAATACTGATCACCACCTTTTTATAAACAATTGGCTCGTACTACCAAGTGACAAGGCACTACATGTTGGTATACAGGACTTCCTAGTAAGACTGTAGAGGCTTCAACTATTTGAAGCTTACATTTCCATAGAGTATTGGAATTTAAGTTCTTTAGTTTAGCGTAGTAATGATGCACATTTTTTACTGAATAAAAAAATATTAGTATAAAAAAGAAAGTTACTTTTAAAGATTTATAATAATCCTCATTATCCGTAATATAAATGAATGTTTGTTTTTATGTGTGTCCCGTATGGTTTCCAATATTATTCATCCGCTTACGATAAAACTTTTGTGAGTTATTGTGCCCACGAGAGCAAAAGTTTCTGAAGTGTAAAGTGTTAGGTGCGCTAGTAAATTAAATTATATTTGGCAGTGGCATTGCAGGCGTACTGGGTTCAGCTACTACGTCATATTTCAACACTGTTCCTGTTGCGTAACTTTAAAGAACTTTTCATATTATGTACACCTACCGACTCTATGGACAAACAACTTCGGCTTAGCAGGAAAGTTATAATTAATAACAGTGTCCAAAGCAGGCAAATCTAATCCTCTAGCTGCGACGTCAGTCACGAGAAGCACTGAACATTTGTTGTTTATGAACTTGCCCAGGGCGATCTTACGAGCGGAAGGGTCAAGGCCGGAGTACGCGTAGGTAGATGTTATTCCAGCTTGTTGTAAGATCTGAGACAAGATAAAAGCGCAAAAATTACCGTTTGTACTAAAGTACAAACATGAAATTGTTTATCCTTTTGTATCATTTGCGTAAAAACGAAGGAATAAGTTTGATTTGAACTTAATGTTTGATTTTCATAAAAGGGTTATTTATATTGGGTCAAATTGTTTATATTTCAATATTTGCGTAAATGATACATGAAGGTACATAATGATACATCGAACACTCAATGGAGCAAAATAAGTCTAAACAATCACAAAAAATACTTATTATTATAGATACAAGGATTGAAAAAAACACAAAGATTTCTTCAATCCAACTGAAGTAATTTTCATAAGATTCTTATAAATGGCGCTACGACAAAAAAAAGTCGTTTAAACTCAATACAAAGATCTGCAAGGAGCACATAGAGAAATTCGTAGGATCTGCTGACTCCATCTGTAACTCACTTGGTAAGAGCGGTAGCCACGGTGAGGCAACAGACTATGGTTCAAATCTTTGTATCAATAAAAACAACACTAGTGAAGTACATATTTTCACAATAAATACACGAAGGTCATGGCAGTAAAAACATTATTGAATAAAATAAAAAATACTTACCAAATGCAAATATTCCACGTGATGTTTAGTAGCAGCAAAAACAACAGCCTGTGGTGTTTTACTTGTAAGTACTTTATCCAATAACAATAATAAAGCGGCTGTTTTCAATTCAGCACGTACATATATCCACCCGAGCCACAAATTTGAAGGCAACTTCCAATCAACATCTAGTCTTATTAACACAGGATCAGTGAGACCGGCTCTAGCAAACTCTACCAGCATTTTTGGTAATGTGGCGGAGAATAGCAAAGTTTGCCGACTTGAGGGTAGCCTCGCTACTATTTCTCGTAATTGCTCTCCAAAACCGAGTTCGAAAAGTCGGTCTGCTTCATCGAACACTATGACCTCTGTGGACATTAATAATGAGTTTTATTCAAATGCTAAATGTCTACATTTCAAAGGTAAACAAATTATACATGAAATGATCAAATTGACTAATCATCACTCATTCGTATCATTCAGATTCCCCTGAGAAGATTGGGTTAAAGACTCTAGGGGATTTTCTTTGTGAATGAATTCATACTTACAATTTAAAATATTTATTAAAAAATATCAAAGAGAGAAAAATCCTGAAAGAGCTAAACAGACCATTCTCATGGATTATTGTGGGTGGTGCAAAATCCATTTTGTAAAGAATAATAATTTAGTAACAGTAATACTGCCACCTTACCTATTTGTGCAGTAATGTGAGCATTTTTTGTGAGGTTTTGAAGGGTGCTGGTGAAATTACAGGCACATGGGACTTGTCAACTTGTCTCAGGGTGTAGGATGCAGTAGCAGTGCCTCTCATATCTTTGCGATTTAAAGCTTCAGAGACACTGCAAATGTTATGGAAAGATGTGTAGCTTACCACTAGGCGCACGACTTGTTCGTCCCATCAAATTTAAAACATAATTTAAATTAAATAATATTAGTGTATAGGTATATATATATATATTAGCTAAAAAAGCTAAAATCTTAGGAATATATTTATGCTTAAATTTTCATAACTTTGACCTTTTGTTTTATGATAATTTTCCATTATATGAATATTTATGGGGTTCAATGCCATGGAGGTACAAAGTATGCTTCAAGCAGTTTTATTTCTGTACATAAACTAATGGCTAAATAGACGGGAAGAAATTGCTACTAAAAATAAGAATAACACTACTATCTGGTTTTGTACAGTAACAGTGTTTATCATAAAATTCAATATAAGAATACGATAGTACGGGGCACCCCATTTAGCAATATGGATATTTACCGCCTACTGCTTTTCCATAGAGAACTATCAACAGCGTACTGTCAAAATTCAATGATTTACATGCACACACTGTAGATGTTATATGCACATATTTACAATGTGTACATTAAGATAGTATGGTGGATATCGACGAGTTTACTATTATGTAATTAGACCGCTTTATTTATTTATTATTTTATGAGACCAAGTCACGTTACGAACAAGTCGTACTCCTGGCGGTAAGCGACACGCCCGTCCTTAGGTAGTTGCAGTGCCACTCAGAACTTTAAATCGTAAAGATCTAAGGGGCACTACCACAGCGCCTGTCACCCTGAGAAATTGACAAGTCACATGTGCCTGTAATGTCACCAGCACCTGCACTCTTCTCTTAAACACCGGAACGCAGTAATGCTATACATATACCATTATAGTATACTGTTAGACTATAGACTATTATACTATTTAATTTAGATAGTCAAAAAATAATAAAATTATTACTCACTGATACTGTCTAGTTTTAAATTCATCTCAATACAAATGTGCAGGAATCGTCCTGGGGTGGCGACAACTATATCCGGGGTGGTTCCAGACATGATGCTGAAATGTTGCTCAATGGATTCTCCACCGAGGATTGCAGCTGATGACAGCCCAGTAAACTTGCCAAGTTCACGGACAAACCTTAATGTCTGAGAATTTACGGTATTAAAGTTCAAAGGTTTTAGCAATTCCATAGGTGCAGAAAGCTTTTAAGTAGCATAATATATCAATTATTGAAACAAGAAAACAAAGTGGAATTTTTTTCTTGCTTGATAAGGTCAAGTATATATTATTGTTGTAGATATATATATTGTGTGTGCGTGCGTGCTTGTGTATATATATATATCACTGTTATTTTATATTTTATAGATACTAATTACATTTATAGATGTTGTTTTACCTGCAAAGCTAATTCTCTTGTAGGAGACAGAATGAGTGCTTTCAAGTTCTTTCCTGGTTGTGTCCTGTTGGTAGGAGAAATAAGCTTCTCCAATATGGGTAGCACAAAGCAAGCTGTCTTGCCTGATCCTGTCCGAGCCATAGCCACCACATCTTTACCTTCTAGTGCTAGTGGTATTGTCTAGAATAATATAATTTTTACAATTTATAAATTTATTATTAATTAAACTATACTAATGGTTAGGTTAGTCAACTTAAAGAGAGGGACTTCCTCTCTGGGCAGAAACAAATTGGATTTGGAAAAAGTTGAGCCCAAAGTATTTCTTCCGCATGTCCTCAAGGAAGTTTCTTCACACCCAGATAACGCTTAAAGTGATGTTATTAATTCTTGGTGTAGATTCTGCCACTCATCAAAGCTGCAGTTCATAAATAAGATTTTCAATAATACAAAATTAAAAGAACATACAGATATTGTGAGCCTTTGTGCTGAGAGGTGTATAGATAAAACGTGCATAAACTGAAGCAGCATATATTCAATATGTAAAGAATTGTTTTAATACAGTCCACTCTATTAAAGTCTAATAGTAGTAAGTAAGAACTACGTAAGATTATTTCTAATAAGCAAGCGCACGTGAACATAATATTCTGCTCAGTGATCAAACGAAATTACTGTTGTTATTACGAATTAATAATATTACGAATTTACCAAGTAATTTTGAGGTTATGTTTTAAAAATAAACACACCTTACGTTGGATAGGCGTAGGTTGCTTGTAGCCTCTCTTAGTAATGCCTTTGATAATAGGAAAGCTCAATCCCATGGACTGAAAACCGCCAGATCCTTTCTTTTTTTTCTTAATTATAATTGTTTCATTTTGCACATCGTCTTCTTCAATGGGGGCTTCGAATCCAGGCAGATCATCTTTCAAATCCTTAGGTTTCAACATTTTGTAGTTTAAAGTTAAATCAGTCGTTGGTTTTATTACATTACAATTATGAACAAAATTGAACGAAACTCACAAAACATCCACAAAACCTTAGAGGAAGGAAAAAAATAAAAACACGTGTAGTAAGTGACACATGATTTTGACACTGACAGTGACATCACACTATAGTTAGGTAGCGTTTTGGGATTGCTATAGCGCTTCCGTCAGAGTCGAAAATACTTTAATAATTTAACTTTATACTATACATAAAACATTAATACATTCACATTATCGCTCTTCATATAAACTCAATTGACGACAAAGATACGAATCTATACTTGTTGTGTAATTTTCCGAAAAATTTCAAATAGTGAAAATATTTTAGGAAAATTGCTGAAAAATTGGAAAAATTGAAAAATATTGGAAAAATGTAATTCGAAGCATATTACGTTCTTCGTTTCGAAATATCGTTTTAAGTTTTATTTAGTGTGAATTATAAAATAAAATTTTTTAGCTAAAAGTAAGTTAGAGAAAAACGAGATTTAAAATGATTGGAAATAATTCTTTTCAAACATTTAAATGTGGAAAAATATCATAGCATAGTAAAATATAGGAGAAATATCCAAAAAAATATTAATTTTTTTGAAGAATATATTGTTTCAGAATGGAAATTTTTCCTTTAGCTTAAGGGGTCATTCGCTATCCTGCATTGCAATCCGCCTTGCCATCTGCCGCGTAATGCAGGATTATGAATGTAGTCGCAGCGTGCAAGAAATCCTGCAAGCCTGCAATGCGTCCTGCGAGACTCCAAATGTGGGCCATATGCAGGGTAGTGTGTGACTAGTTTCCTGCCTGTGCGGCGGACTGCCATGCAGATAGTAAAAGCGGTCATTCATTATTCTGCATTGCAGTCCACCTTGCCGTCCGCCGCTTAAAACAGCATTATGAATGTAGTCGCAGCGTGCAAGCCATCCTGCAATCCTGCAATCTGTCATGTGAGATTCCATACGTGGGCCATACGCAGAATAGTGTGTGAGCAATCTCCTTACTGCGCGGCGGACTGCCATGCAGGTAGTTAACGGGCCGTTTTAATGGGTCGTTTTAGGTAACGATATGCATTGCGGACCCGATCGTGTTTAAAGGATAAGGAACCTTTCATATAGATTCAATCAATGATCTTATATACGAAAAAGTGATTCAATTTGGATTCAATGTTACTTTACGCCTAACATAAAGTTTACTTACATAATATGTGTCTTTTCAGTCTACCGACGTGGTAGTCTGGTAAATTATACCGGCCATTCTCAAATAGCAAACTTTAATAAATATATTTTTTAAAGTAGGTAAGGTAGTTTATACTTTTCATCATCATCATCATCATATACAGGCTGACGTCACCCACTGCTGGCTACAGGCCTCCAAGTTTCTTTGCCACTCCCCACGATTCCGTGCTAATCTCATCCAGGTTCGTCACGCAATTCCTGCGATGTCATTCACCATCTCGCCGCTGCCGCTGGACGCCCGACGTTCCTGTATCCAGTCCTTGTACGCCACTCTGTTATCGTCTTACTCCATCTGTCATCTTGTCTCTGTATCAGGTGGCCTGCCCAGATCCATTTTAGCTTTGTGATGCGGTTTATACTTTTACCTTAATGTATCTTTAACTGCCTCTGTGGCCGAACGGTTACCATGCCAAACTGCCACGCAGAGGTCCCAGGTTCGATTCCAGGGCCGGGAGAAATATTTGTATGGCCCACATTTATTTCTCTCGTGAGTTTGGGTGTAATTTGTGGTTGTCTCTGTGTGTGTCCAGGGCACCTGCGACACAGGGTTTCCCTAGTAAGGGGCTATGTTGAGTGTGTGCGTTATTATTGTTATTATTATTTTAAGATTTTAGTCCTGCTATTTCATTATCATACCTACTTATTTTATAACATGGGTTTACCCATGTTGTCCAATTACCATAGCCTTTCCGGACGTTACCTTTGTCTACAAACTACTTCCCATTTTAGTTCGGAAAGGCACAAGTGTAGTGTCATGCTTGTGTAATCAATCACTTAAAAATACAACCTAACACGACCATTCTTTTTAAATCTACCATCAAATATCCAAGTGTCCGAGTATCCGAGTTTTTTTGGTCTTGCATGGGAAGGCTGAAACTATTCGATGTTGTTAAAGAGTCTATGAAACCATATGACCCTGATTCCGACTGTCCCCGTTTGGGCAATATTGTCTAAGGGGTAATGTGCCTCAAGAATCAGTTTGTGAGAAGTTGGTTTAGCCAATATTGCTGCCTAAAAGACGACGCTTCATGTGACCTTTGACCTTAACCCCGAACGATCTCGTTTACAAGATAAAAATTAATTACAAATGCATCATCAGCACCATCAGCACCATTTGCATTATAATAATAAGCATCATTAGCGACATCAGCATTATTAGAATCTTCGTCATTATCATAATTTTGGTAGTAGTAGAGCTTCTTGTGAGAGTTTGTTCAGATAAGAACTGCCACCATACTTATTTCTTCTGCCAAGCAGGTTTATTACTTTAAAATCCAACTTTGACCTTACAAGCGCTTAGGGTTCAGAACCGGGAAATCCCGATCTCGAAAGTACTGGGAATTCCCGATTCTTTTATAGTAAAGAATGAGAGAAAAATCCGGATAATTGTTTCCCAGCTATTTTGATACTTTTGGGAATTAGCGGCGATAGTGTAATTTCGGTTTTAATTACGGACCAAAGTTACGTTTGTTTTAAACTTGATGTTGTCTTAAAAAATAGAGGAGGTTTAAGTATAATTTTCTGATACTTAAATTGTAAATGTTTTTTTTTAAATTTCCAAGAATATGTAGGCTGAAAAATGACGTGAACTGATTTATACTACAATATTTTCTATAAAAAAGCTTCAATATTTACCGATTTTACTTTTGAAACCTATCGCTTTTTTAACCCGTCGAGTATTATTGCTTACTATTTCACTGATTGTAGTACCATTGAACAACAAGTAGCTAGTACCGGAAGTATCGAAAGAATCGGGAAATTCCGGTTCCGTTGAAGACTAGTACCGAAATTCCCGGTTCTTCAAAACATGCCCGGTTCCGGATTTCCTACTTACAACATCGTCGCATCGTCCAACATCGTAGGACAAAACTACTATGTGATTATCTTTGTCCTACGATGCGTTAAAACCTTTCCGGAAATTCGGAATTCGAAAAAGTAATGAATATAAACAAAATATAGTGGTTTTAACAACTCTATGTCTCCCTCTCCCTTTAACAACTCCTCGTAGCTGCGTCTATACATGTATCTATAGATTTGGAACACCTTTTTCCGGCCTATGCTCTAAACTCATCATATCTATGGACGGCTCAGCTCTGCAGTGTACGCAATTAAAAAAATTCAGACAGAAATACAGACGTCGAAACAGCTAGATTGGTTTACTTTAGCTACTTTCACAGCCAAATGACATACGGCATTTTGCTTTGGGGTAATGCCGCCGATATCAATAGAATCTTTGTCCTGCAGAAACGTGCGGTTAGGGCAATTTACAATCTGGGCCCCAGAGCATCTTTGAGAGATAAGTTTAAGGAAATTAACATTCTTACACTAGCGTCACAGTATATTTATGAAAATGTAATTATATTAAGAGGAATAGTAATTTCTTTATAAAAATAGTGACAGACATAACATTAATACGAGGAATAAAAATAAACTAGCTGTTCTTGATAAGGTAATGGAACCAATCATGCACCATTTAGGGATTTATTTTTTGTTTTAGTCTTTTAATTTTGGATGAGTTATTCTGTGGAACTCGAGGAAAGGTTTAATTGATTAAAAAGTCTTCAAAAATTCAAATAACGGTTGAAAGTGCTTTAATCACATCAATTAATAAAGAAAACATTGTTACTCGAGAAAAAGTAGACTTTGTTTGAGTATCCTTATATGGACATCCCAATTTCCAATTACGGACACGCCGTTGTGGACGGCTTTCAATCATGAACACGCCGCCAAGGGCGGTTTCTAATCATGGACACCTAAACATGAACGATCAACTATTTAGCCAAATTAACAAATTCAATCTTAAAAATCGAGTTCTCGCTTGGTACTTAAACGAATGGTGTGACGTTTCATATAACCAATTTATGACTGGTAACAATGGATAGTCATTCGCTTCAGTGCCATGTCTAAAAAAATCAAATCCAGTAATGGAGGACCAGTGACGGACACTGTTTCCATTATTGTGCAGACTTAAAATAATGTAACAAGCTGTAAACTAAATTAAAAGTCTGGCTTTATAAGGATGGTAAACACAAGTAAATCTTTTATGCATCTCTTTTATGATAAAATCCGATTATGGACAAAAATGTCCATGATTGGGCAATTAGCTAAATGAGATCCAGTAATAAACACTTCAAATTTTCCAACAGACGTTATGTTATTCTTTTACGGTTATGTTTTGTTTAAACGCTTAAAACAATATCAAAACACAAAATAACCACAAAAGTCACCACAATCTTAAATACCACATTCAAATATAATTATAAAAAACGTACATGAGGCGCGGTCCTTATAAGAAATCCGTTTTATTTTAAATTTATTATCACCGTCTTATTTCGCATCGTGATAATGGCGAATAAAGATGGTCGTCAGCTGTTAAAATTTAACTGATGTTTTCCATTTTGATCAAAAATGTTAAAAAATTTTGAAAGTGAAAAGAAATAATTAGCGTTTCCTTATGTTTGGCGGTATAGTTAAAAAATGTTAATGATTGGTGTACTGTCCATCATCGGTTCCACTACCTTAGTCGTCTTCACAAAGTCACAAATTCATTTAAGGGGCAATGTATACGCTTCTATAACAAGATTCCGGTTGATATACAGAATTTGCCATTCATGAGGTTTAAAACTACAGTGAAACAAAAACTTTATACTAAAGGTTATTATACAACTTCTGCGTAGTTGGATGACAAAAATCCGCGGTAGTAACCCGTTTAGCTCATGGAGGTAGTCTCGATCTCTAATGTTTCAAAACAAA